GAGGTGGCTTCTTCTTTGATTTCATCTGGGGTACGCAATTCAGCATCAACATGCTCCACCTCAACAGGAATCTCTCCATGTTCCAGCTCTCCGTCAGCATCATCACTTTTTTTGAAATTCATCTCTACTTCATTGAAAACTATATCTTGACTGGTGATACACCTCCTGTGACCTGGCTCTAGGCACTATAGCCTATAAGCTTAGACTCCTTCAGGGTATCTCATGAACATGCATTTCTTGGTTCTAGGTTCGACCTTGTCTTGCCTAATGTGAGCATAAGTCACACAACCAAATACTCTCAGTTTGTCGAGACTAGGTGGATGTCCCGACCAAAATTCTTCAGGTGTCTTCATGTCTAACGCAGTCAAAGTACATTTTTTTTCCAGATATGTTGATGTCGAAACTGCCTCTGCCTAAAACACCTTCTTTAACCCAACACTAGTCAACATGCATCTAACTCTTTCCAAAATAGTTCAATCAAACCTTTCTGCCAAACCATTTTGTTGTGGAGTCCCTGCGGTAGTTTTGTACCTTGCAATACCTGAGGCAACACAAAATAGTCGAACGCCTCCTTCTAAAATTCGAGGCCATTGTCGGTTCTCAACCTCTTGATCTTTCTGCCAGTCTGATTTTTGACCAGAGTCTTTCAACCTTTGAAATTCTCAAAAGTTTCATCCTTAGTGTTCTGGATGAATACCCATAACTTCCTGGAATAATCGTCAACTATGGATAGAAAATACCTTGCTCCTGAATGTGATGGAAACCTTACAGGCCCCCAAAGATTAGCATGGATGTAATCGAGGGATCCATGAGTTCTTTGTTTTCCTTTATTGAACTTCACTCTGCAAGATTTTCCAAGTACACAGGGTTCACAAAATTTCAGCTTTTCGACTTTGTCTCCTACAAGTAGATTCTGTTTCCCTACTTCAACCAGACCCCTTTCACTGACATGGCCCAATCTCATGTGCCAAATTTATGTTTTCGAAAATGATTTTGTGGATGCAATATTTGTCGAACCACTAACAACTTCAGCGTCAAAGGTATACAATCCTTGTTTCTTCACGCCTCTCAAGACTTCCTTCGACCCCTTCATGACTCTTAGGATACTTTTCTTTTCTTGAAAAATATATCCTGTCGAATTCACCAAGAGAAATCAAATTTCTCTTCAAATCCGGTACATACCTGACTTCAGTCAATAACCTTATTGACTCATCATGGATGCGTTGCCATTATCTTTACCTCCATGATCTTTCAGGCGTTCAAGATGCATTTTTCTTGTGTGACCCTCCTTCTTACAGTGATAGCATCGAATACCAGATGCCTCGCCACTATAAGACTTCTGGTGACTTTTACCTTTCTTCTTGTCGAACTTACCATCCTTTCGCAAGAATTTTCCCTTAACGGTCAAACCTTCACCAACCGTCTAAGGTTTATGCTCCTTTCGTTCGTTCAAGTATTTTGAATACAAGGCTGGTTGAACTTTTTCAAAGCTCAGGGACTCCCTTCCATACAAAATATTTTCTTTGAAGTGACCATGTGTTATGGGCAAAGCGCACAACATCAATAGTGCTTGATCTTCATAATCAATCTTCACATCAATATTTTCAAGATCAAAGACCAACTTGTTAAACATATCCAACTGTTCAGCCAACACTTTGTCTTCGCTCATCTTGAATGAATACAAAGCTTGCTTCAGGTAGAGTCGATCCACTAGAGATTTGGTCATGTACAAGCTTTCAAGCTTCAACCATATCCCCGATGTCATCGTCTCCTTTGATACCCGTCGGAGAACCTTATCACCAAGGCTCAACAATATTGCACTATGAACTTTCTCTATCATGGCCGTCTTTTATTTTTCCGTTAATGCAACGTCCATGTCTGCCTTTCCCTTCAATGCTTCCAAACAACCCTGCTGAACTAGTAAGACTTTCATCTTCAAGCACCACAGACAAGCTAACTTAAACAATTGGATCCTTAACACAAGACCCAATTCGACAACTACATACTAGAACACAATTCGACTACAGCATGTAGGTCTTCGACAACAACATGTGAGTAAACTTCGACGACATGCTAACTAGAGTTCGATCAAATATCTCACATTAACCAATATGATAATATTATTTTTTGATAGCTTCCATGAATGCTAAATCTAAATCCATCTCTAGAGTTTATCATCTAACAGATGAAAATATTGGATCTAGAATTGACAAGTATCTCTCGATATTGAATTAAAACCATTAAAACGTATTTTAGGTAGATAATCTAAAAAAAGACATTAAGCATGAAGAATCCATCAACATTAAAGCATAAGAAGAATTATATAGAACACCATGATCATAATCGATACATGAGCATTTACACAACCACATCTAATCTCAACAAAAGAGAAATTAGTTACACTTGCCCATCATAGCTTCACTGGTTTCTTGGGAAATCAGTTTTGAAAAGGTTGTAGTCAGTTGTTCCTTTAATTTGTATCATGCAAAGGAGAATTGATGATATCAGTACACATGTCACAAGATGGTGAAGGGAGAGATAACTATAGACCATTTGACGGTTGAGGACAGTTATCTTTTGAGAAGTATGAAGTGTAGAAAAGGTTATAAAAATGTCTGTCTTTGAGTTGACGTGGATGGAAGAGTGGAACTAGTGGACAAACACACTTTTATTTATTTATTTTTGGTTAATGTACGCTTTTATTTTAGGATATATTCACACTCCTACTTAACCTCACCATGAAATTCTCATCACACCTTCCATCAAACTTTCTCATAACAAAACTAAACATATTCAAGCTCTTCTCTCTCCATCTCAAGTTTTTTCTTGTCTGATGTGCAGCAAACTTTTTTCTTCATATTTTCACACAAAAACAACATAGATGGAGATACACATTACAATTTCTTAGATGAGTTTGGATTTAAGTTTCTTACTTTCTTTTAGATATGGTTTTGTTTGTTTGAAAATAGTACAAAGAAAAATTGATCCTTTTATACTCATTATTTTTTTCAAGATCCATTTTTTTGCTGTTATTTATTTAAACAAAAATGTTCTTTTTTTTCACTTTCATTTAACTAATCTTCTTTTAAATTATTCATGTATCACTATTTATTTTCTTCTGAAATCTAGTACTAAAATTACAAATTTTCTTGTACTTCTTTTATCCAAATCTAACAAATATAATGATAAAACTATCTATCTTTTTAAATTTAATATTTTCGTTTTAAATTTATTTTAGATTTATTGTAAAAGAAATGGTAAAGAGGTAAATGTGATATTGCCGTATTGATTCACTTATGATTCTTGGTAATACATGATAATTTCATTGAAATTTACAAAAATATGGTTTGAAATGATGAATAAAATTAAATAGAAATGGATGTAACTTTAATATTAAACAATAGAAGAATGGTTAGAAATGAAGAAAAAAAAAAGTGTCATAATGTACCCTTAATTTGTTTATGTGGCCCGATTAGAGGCAGGGGCATTAATGGATTTTTTAGTGCTACTAATTTTCATATCTTCATCTCTAATCTTCGTATAAATAATAATTTTTAAAATGTAAAATTGATGTTAAAATTGATAGTGTAACACCAAAAATTCGAATGGAGCTTAAAAAAATTCTATAAAATTCAAAAATACAAACAAAAAAATCAGAATGTACAAACAAATTATTTGTGTTATTTTCTCACCCAAATGCATTTGTTTTCATAAAGAGTAAAAAGTAGAGGGGTCTCAAAACCAACCCTAGCATGTAAAGTTAGAGGTCAAAATCGATTGCACTAAACTTCAAAGAATGAGAAATTTAAAAAATTTGAGTTTTGTATCTTGAAAATGAGTGTCATGAAGAGGAGGGTCTAGATTTAGAACTTGGAGAATAGGGTTGCAAAATTGAGGGGTTCTTCATATTGAAGATTTTGAAGGGAATCAAAAGAAGTCAATGAAACTTTATTGGAAGATGATGGTGAAAATTGTGAGAGAATGAGTGAATGATAGAACTACATTATAAAAAAAAAAAAAGTTTGAAAACATTATGGGTTTGTATGAAAGTTGAAGAAGATATAAACACAAACTCGTAATTAAGGACTAAAACTAAAAAAAAAATTATATTATAAAGACTAAAACCAAAAATGTGCCAATTTATAGGGACAAAAATACTATTTTATCTAAAATTCTGGGTTTGTGTTGCTATCTTCATCCACAACCTTTATACAAATACATAACTTTTTCAAACCGAATTTTTTTTCTTTGAAATGAGTTTGATAAGAAATTGAAATAGAGTTTGAAGGTGAGAAATTTGGAGGTTAGAGATGAATTGAGGAAGATGTTTTGTAAAATTACAATTTCTTTTGTTTGGATTTTGTCCTCCTATTCCATGTCATTAGTACCACGTCACTCAACTTTTGACACCTCAATTTTTTTGTATAATGGATAATTGATGTTATGCCTAAAACAAAACACAATATATGAGGATCTCATCTAAAAAAAAGTTTACAGACTAAAATAAAAACACACAAACTCATAAAAATCAAAAGATTATTTAAGTCTTTAAATATTTTACATGTCAATAAATAATATTATAATAAAAAATATATTATTTTGCTCGGTACATAAGCAATATAAAATAAAATTGAGTAAAAAAACCATCCAATACATCGAGTATCAAATACACTAAAGTACAAAAAAACTCTCAAGTATTGTTCTATCAAATACTTCTTATTTTAGTATCATACGCACCATAACGACATAATTTATTTATTATGAAGTAAAAAGTATATCCTCCATTCTCTTTTATAAGTAAAATTTAATTTTTTAAATTTCTTGAATAATTAATGTATTTAGCCTAAATATTGTCCAAATACATTATTTATTCAATAAATTTAAAAAATCAAAATTCACTCATAAAAGAAAATGTATGACATAAGTAGAAATACACTTCACCTTAAAATGCCACTTATAAATTATTACTAAAGAAGATGCAACAAAACACTAGACAATCACTAGAGTTTGGAGTGATTACTTTCATGTTTAAGAAGTGTTGTGTCAAATACTTTGAGAAAAAATCTTGTTCTTGGTATAGATAGGTTGTTCTCCAATATTGTGCCAATGGCATGAATTAGATCCTTCTTCACTTTTGAATTTATGCCACCCATTGCAACTAGTTCACCATATGCAGCTGGTTCTTTGTTATGTTCAAACATTATTGGAACTGATCCCTTCACTAAAACCATCACAAACTGCAAATTTACATTCAACACATATTCATCACATTAATTTCTTACAACTTATAATTATAATAATGACTGATAACGGATAAAATAATTAAAATATTTTTTAATTAATTTTTGTAAAATGATATAAAAGAATTTTTAATTATATTTATTTTATTTTAAATTATAATAAAACATAAAAAAATAAACATATTTTTTTTATAAAACATAACATTTTTATTGATGTGAAATTATAAAAAATGAAAATTAAAAGGTAGTTTATTGATGTTACCAAATATGCTTTTAAATAAATAAGAATATAAAATATGGGAAAAGTTAAGTAACCTAGATATTAACTAAATAAACTTTTTTTAATTAATTCTCTATCTTTATAATGAAATTTTAGATTTCCAAAACTCTCAATTTTTATTGAAAACCGTATGGTTCAAACCTTTGAAAAATTTCTTGTAATTTGATTTTTGTTTACTTTTTACGATGAAATTTGCAAACAAATTTATTATAAAACGATAAAATACTTATAAAGATAATAATAAAATTAAAGTGTGTTTAGGATTAAGTATTGATAATAAAGATGAACTCCTAATACAGCTCCTGAAGTGCAATCACTAAAAACACTTTCTTCCACTATCTTTTCTTCTACCTTTTCACACAATAAATATATAAAGAATTTGGATAGATCCATGGTATCTATTATCTTCAACTATTAAATTGAATAAATAAACCTAATCCATCCAACTTTTTTTTACTTTAATTCAATCATGATAACATTGAATAATAATAATAATAATAATAATAATAATAATAATAATAATAATAATAATAATAATAATAATAATAATAATAATAATAATAATAATAATAATAATAATATACTATTGAAATAAATTTTGACAAATTTAAACAATTGATGTTGATTAAATAGTATACATCAAAACTTAGTAGAAACTATCCACCAAAGATTATGAATTAGTTATCTTAGAAAAACACCATAAACACCAAAAACCCAAAATTTATATGAATTAGTGTAAACCCTAATAGGATTTTCACACAATCTTATTGAAAAAATATAAGAGACATAGATAGAGAATAGGACAATACCTGTTCTGGTTTTCCTATGATAGAAGAGACAGCAGTTGTGGCTTGAGCAAAGATGGGATCAATGTTAACTCCATCTAGCTTCACGTTGGTAGAGAGATAAAGGCAAGGCATTTTTTCTTTCTTTCTGAGACTTTTCTTATTCTTATCTACTTTGATATAAATGAATATGACTATGGAAGTTATCTAACTTGGGATTATATAGTACTAGCATTTAATACTATTTCATCATGTGATATAAATGCAAAAAAATACGCAAGCAAGTTGGTTCAAGTTTTAACTATTTTGAATACATACATTTTTCTTATCTAAGTAGTTCATTGCATAGAGAATAATAGTTGTAATTAAATGAATAATTGATGGTATATTAAAAGGCAGTCTAACACTTGACTAATTTAAATTAAATGAATAAATAATGGTATATTAAAAGGCAGTCTAACACTAGACCAATTTAAATTTAGTTGGATAAAGGATAATACAAACAAGTGATTTTTTTTTTAAATATTTTTTTTTTAAAATTAGAAATGGTTGTTGTAAGTTACAATTTTATAAATTTTTTGAGAATGTTATTTTAATGTTTGTATGAATGATATATTAACTTTTTTATGGCTTAATACATGTTGTAGTCTTTTAACCTAATTAAATGGCTCAATATTTTTTTTAGTTTCTTATCTATATTTTTGGATCCATTTTGATTTTCTTTCTTTTAAAATATTCAATTTAGTCCCTTACATTGTCAAAAAGAGTTATACAAGTCTTTTCGGTCAAATAATGATAAACGACATTAAACAGAAAGGACGTGACAACTGAGGTGGATTTCCTCTTCTTTTACTTTTTCAAACATTACCAACCAACTAATACTAATGTGAGATGTGGCGCTATTTATAATGACAATAATAATAAAAAAGATTAAAAAGACCAGGAATGAATCAGAGAAGGAATGAAATGTTAAGCTCTCATTCCTCTCACTAGATTTTCTCTCTCGGTTCCACCCTTTCCTTCATTTTTTTCAAGTTCAAACATTTACAAAAGCAACATAATACACTCAATCCTACACACATCAGGATCCTAAAAAGAAAAAAAAGAGTACCAAATGAATATCTGACGGTGAACAGAGGTCACGGATCTGAATGCGAACGGTTGGTGTGCATTTTCTGACGTTTGGAAATAGCAACGAGTGGTTCGTTGTGGTTTCACAGAGGTATTTTCATGTGCTTCTGGATCTTTTGAGTGTTCTGGTGAACTTGAATTTTCTGGCGTGTATGAACGCAGTTTCCAGCGAGTATGAAGTTTCCAGCCAAATATATGCAGTTTCCGGCGATTGTTTGTTGTTTCTGGTTTTGAATTTCTTATTCTTCTTTGGTTTCTATTTTGTTTTCTTCTTAGTTGTTGATGAAGAGTATTTAGTTATGAGACGCAGAGAAGGAATACGATAAAGTGTTCTCTGTTTGTTTTCAATTTGGGGATTTTGCTTCTTATTTTCAGATGCATATGTGGGGATATGGATCACAATACAGAAAAGGACCAGAATCTCTAAGAGGTACACAACCAACAGGTATGCTAAGGCTTCCTTGCTACTGTTGTTCACTAGGTTGCAGGAATAACATTGATCATCCAAGAGCGAAACCGTTGAAAGATTTCAGAACACTTCAAACACATTACAAGAGGAAACATGGAATTAAGCCTTTTATGTGTAGAAAATGTAGTAAGGCTTTTGCTGTTAAAGGAGATTGAAGAACTCATGAGAAGAACTGTGGGAAGCTTTGGTATTGTCATTATAAAAAGTGTCACATGTCACGTTAGTATTAGTTGGTTGGTAATGTTTGAAAAAGTAAAAGAAGAGGAAATCCACTTCAGCTGCCACATCCTTTCTGTCTAACGTCGTTTATCATTATTTGACAGAAAGGACTTGTTTAATTCTGCTTGACAACGTAAGGGACCAAATTGAACATTTTAAAAGAAAGATGACCAAAATGGACCCAGAGGTATAGGTAAGGGACTAAAAAGGATATTAAGCATTATTTAATATTCATTTTAGTCCCTTAACAAAAAAATATTACAAGCTAGTCTCTTACTTCACTTTTGTTATCTTATTTGGTCTCTTCCGTTAATTTTTGGCAAAAAAACGTTAAGTTCTGGTGACGTAGCATGACAGCAAGATCATTGGTACAAATCATAGTCAACATATGTAGTTAAAAACTAATACATTGTTTAAACTAATGGGGTTTTGTTTTTGGGTGTTTTCAACCTCCGAAAATAAAACTCCCTCAATTTAAATAGTGTATCAGTTTTTAACTACGTATGTTGACTCAGATTTGTACCAATGGCCTTACTATCATGCCACGTCACCAGAACTTTACGTTTTTCTGTCAGAAATTGACGGAAGAGACCAAATATGGTAACAAAAGTGAAGTTAAGGGACTAACGTGTAACATATTTTTAGTTAAGGGACTAAAGCAGAACATTAAATTAAGTTAATGTACTTCGTAACTAATTATGCCTTTTTTTATCTACTAAAATGCTTGTTCTAGATGTGGTTTTTCTTTGTTGTACACATGTATAAATTAATGTTTGTAATGATGATGTTCTAAAGATATATGAATGTTTTTATCTGCTAAAATGTTTTGTATTAGATGTGGTTATACTATGTTGTACCAATGCATGAAATAATGTTTGTAATAATGATGTTATAATGGTGTACTAATGTTTTTATCTACTAAATTTTTTAGATGTTCTAATGCATCAATTTATGATTGTGTTAATTTTGTTCTAATGTTTTTATCTACTAAAATGCTTGTGATTAACATCAAATTTCATAATATATTATTGATGTATACTAACACAAATTTAGGATTGCTGCAATGTACTTTAAAATTTAGGATTATTTTAGCTTGTTATACTAGTGCAAATTCATGATTGTGTGAGTTCTTATGAACTATTAATATTATGTTATTTTTTGTTTTGGATAATTATATTCTTCATCTCTACTTAATTGTTATTTACAAAATGAGTATGAAAAAAGGATTATTAAGAGAGACTCACAAGAGGCACTTGGAGATGATGTTTCTAGCCATCAATCTGACAACATCATCTTCTTAGATGTTGTTGGACATATAGTCTTGTCATTATCAAAAGCATCGTAAACATCTGAGTATTGTATATAGTTGTAACTCTAAGCACATAGATCCATATTTTCTCTCTTTTTTCTCTTTTTTATAGTGACATCGCATCTCTCAAGGAGGTGGAGAAAAACAGAAAAGCATAGATAAAATATTGGAGTGATTAAATTTTCCCTCACAAATATAAAAAGTATATCCTACTCCTCTGGAGATTATACTTCTCCTCCTTTGGCATTATTAAAAAGACAGAAATAATAAATAGATAGATTAATGGAGGGAAAACATTTTCTTCTTCCAAGCTTTACATGCCCACATTTAAGAACAAATATCTCAAATGATTAAGAATGAAGGATTTAATAATCAACTTAAACAATTATTTATTAAACACAAAAACAATTACAGAAGGGGAAGATGTAAAAAAAAAAAAAAAGAAATTAAGAAACAAAACAAATAAGGCAATCAAGCAAGGACTACCCAATGTCCTCCTCATCATCACTAAACAGCCCAAATGACGATGACATCTCATTCTTAACATACTTTTCATGCCAGATATTCAATCTTCTTGCTTGTCTGCTTCTTCTCTTTGATGATGGTGTGGAGAAGAGTTTAAGTAGAAATGGTCTAAGAGATCTCATGATCAAAGTTCGTCTAGATTTTAGGGACCTTTTTGCTCAGGTGCGTGTTGACTTTGCACATATTTTCTTTCTTTGGATAACCTTTGCACCACTACTTCAATGATGATGGACATCCGCGTATGCCCCAATGCATGTTTCCCTATCCTTTTCGAGTTACTAATTGATTATTCCTCTTCAAGGTTGAAGCCAATATGTTCCAAGATTTTTGTGACCATATCACCATATGACAACCATAAAATCCATTTTCTCCGACTCTACATCATGTGATAGATTACCCTGTTTTCCTAATTCGTTTCAAATTTGTTTGCCAACACTCAAGTTAAAGCCAAATGTATTTTAAATACTTGCCTAAGATTTTTTTCTCGGGATGAGGATATGTTTTGCAACTTAGTTAATGAGCTGAATATATGGGTGCATATAGCCTACAACTAATGAAGTAGGAATGTCATTATTTGATTTTACAGGAAGGAGCGAGCAACATTACGGAAATTAAAATATTCACCTGCTACTATTTCATCTGGCTTGTACAATGATCCAATGCAAGGAAGATAACAAATTTCAAGGAAAAATGCCAAACTCAAGGAGATCGGATGCTTCCGTACAACAGAAGTGATGATACCATCTTTATAGATAAGGTTATATAAAATTCTTAATATAGTTGAAAACATCTCTCATGGGACATTGCTGATGAAATCCTTCAATTCTTCTTGAACAAAGACATCAATCAAAAAACTGCTAATTTTCAAAGAATTCAAGATCCTTGGAGTAGGTTGGGAGAAGATTCATTGAAACAAAATATCTATTGAATTTTTTCTCTTTTTCTTACAAAGATGATTTGTTTGATAAGTATGCCTAAAAAGATGTGCTTCCAGAAGTTCTGACTCTTTTAGGTGACATTTAGTGACGATGAATGAAAAAATAGAGTATCATTCAAGAAGAATTCACAAACTTCACTAAAAAAAGTAAGAACAAATGGAAGAAGGATAAGAGAAGAAAATTTGAGATGATATGAGAAAAGAGGGGGGAACGAGTTACCTTTTATAGGGCCAACATAATCGATAAGTGAGGCTTCTAATCAATTAAACATTTAATGCAAATGGTTCTAATTAATTGATTGACGATGAAAATTTTAAGGTGATCTAATAGATTCGGCCATTAGGATTAATTGATTAGGTACACCAAATTTGAAATTCAAATGCGCCTATTCGATAAGTCTATTATGTTTAATCAATTAGAAGCAACCTTTTCAACTTCCTTGGTCCATTTGGGCCTTGGATGGCTTTGGGCGCTAAATTTCTTCTTGTACCCCTTTGTTTTTTTGTTTTACACCCCTCACTTACATTTTCATTTTCTTAAACCAAAATACTAGTAAAAATAAAACAAATTCACTAGACACATAAGCTTTCTATTTTCCATCTCTCTAAATCGCTTGATACGAGAGTTGAATCACATATCTTCAATATTGATAAATCAGGATTACAAACAAACTTTTTAAAGATTTCCTCAACCATCAAGTTCATCAAAACCATCTTTTAGTGGAACTTTCAATTTCATTCTTTGCACAAATTTTCTTTATTTACGATTAAACCCTTGAAGCTGCAAAGCATACCTGCAAAACGAAACAAATTTTTATTTTCAAAAACCAAATCTTTTTATGTCCTTTTGAGTTTTTAGATTTAAGATGTCTTGGTTTCTCCCTTTTAGACCTTCTTAAAGTTATCATTTAGAAAAACAAAAAAGGTTATAAATGTCCAAGCTTATTATAATACTTGCACTTAAACATATATCAATTATATGTCTCTTTATCATGACAAATTCTAATGGACACTTTATTAAGGGTATACCTTAATCCATTTTTATTATAGGAAGCTCTATGATTCGATAAAATTAGATCCAAGTTCTCTTTACCCTTAGCGAATTTACCCAGAGTTTCATGCATTTATCTAATTCATTTTTCAACGAAAAACATGTTTCACATTTAACCAACTGTCTTCTAATCTCATATATTTCATTTCCAAGCGCTTTATTACTAATTTTCAAAAATTCAATATAAATTTTAAATTCTATGGTGCTTCTTTCCATTTTTTTCATTCTATTTACCTATTTTAACTGTTAACTTAAAAAGTTGCTTATAAGATAGAGTTGTTACCTCACTATCATCTTCTTCATTGGTGGGCTTGAAGCTAACATACTCTTCTTTGTAAAACTCACTTGTATTTCTTCTAGAATATACTCTTGAAAATATTTAGATGAGCCATTAGATAAATCTTTAAATACATCTTTGCATGAATTTCTACAAGTATATCTTGAGGTCTCTCCCATTGATTCTTCATGTGTTGTTACCTATTCTTCACGAGATACTTATATGATGAATCACCAAAATAAAATCCTGGATGTTGATTCTTACAAAATATTTTCGGAGGTTTGTTTTTCATAGGCTCATTCATTTATAGTGACAATTATTTGCAATGATGCTTCTTATGTTATTCTTTGAACCACTTCTTTAAGTAATTTCTTTGATGAATATAATATGATGAAGATTTTTCTAGTGAACTTGACTTAGTTTTTTATTTTTTAGAAGCTAGATTATCTCTTTGAATTTTAAGATAACTTCCCCATTTCTAATTTTTTCCTGAAATTCAACACAATTGTTTTTATCCTTCGAATTAAGTATTGGATCAAAAAATTTCACTAACTCTTAAGTCTGAGATATTTTTTAGATACAAAATTTCTAAAAGAACTTCCAATGATTCTAATGTTTGGGAACCATTTGTGAAGTTGATTTTCAGTTTTACTTGGTGACTCATATTCTTGGATATTTATGTTCATTCTCTCTTGTTCGATCTCTGAAAAATATCTATGAATCATTTCAAGAGTGTCACACACTTAATAAGTCAAATTATAATTAAAAAGAGAAAATTACTCTCTAGTGCTTAGAGCCTTCATCATCAAGTACTTAGCTTTAAAGTTAAGTTTGATT